ATACATTTTTAAATGATACAGTGACTATCAGTCAGGTAAGGTACATCCACATCATCTTGAGAGTGTTTAAAAAATATACATTCCTGGGCCTGCCTAGATTTAGTGAGAGTCACCACCTCCACAACCTCCTCCACTGTGTGAGAATAACATCCAAGGGGAAGTGGTTGTAGAGATATTTGGAAGATTTTGACTGATGTGGGTCAGAAAGAGGAGGATGTTCTAAAAAGGTAATGATATTAGAAACTGGTCAGGGTACCTGGGTGGCTCAGTTGGTTAAGTGTCTGACTTCAGCTCAGGTCATGATCTCACAATTCATGAGTTCGAGCCCCACGTCAGGCTCCGTGGCTGACAGCTCAGAGCCTGAAACCTGCTTCGGATTCTGTGTCTCCCTCTCTGTCCCTCCCCTACTTGCACACTATCTCTCTCTCAGAAATAAACGAACATTAAAAATTTTAAAAAAGAAAGAAAGAAACTGTCCCTCCCCTACTCGTACTCGATATCTCTCTCAAAAATAAACAAACATTAAAAATTAAAAAAAAAAAAGAAAAGAAAAGAAAAAAAGAAACAGCCTGGCTGGCTCAGTTGGTGGAGAATGTGATGCTTGATCTTGGGGTTGTGAGTTCAAGCTCCACATTGGGTATAGAGATTACTTAAAAATAAAATCTTAAAAAAATACATTGTGGAAATGGAATTATAATTACTTTGTTATTAAGTACATATGGGAGCTGAATGGGAAAGGAGTCTGAGTTTCTCACTGCAGCAAATATGTCAATAGTAGTACCATTTACAGGTATGGGGGGGGAAAGGCAGAAAAAGCAGGTCTCAGGGCTGGGACCCTGTGTGGGGAGGAATGCCAGCTCTGTATCTAGGCATACTGAGTCTGAGGCAGCTACAGGACATCCACACAGAGGTGAGTGCCCTGCATAAATGGGTCTATGGCTAAGAGGAGAGATCTAGGCTGAAGATGAGATTTAGGGTGATAAGCAGAGAGACACAGCAATAAACCACAGAAGATGAGACCATTCATACAAGTGTTAAGAGTGAGAAGGAGGGAGACACAGAGACAGCACCCTGAAGAAGACAAAGTCAACTGAGAAAGGTAAGCTCTGAAATGGGTGACTAGCCAGAGAAGTAATAGCAAAATTAGAAAAAATGTGCTTTTAGGGAAGGAAGGCAGAGTCAACATTGTCAAAAGTCACAAGCGATAAGAAAAGCAACTAACGGAAAGTCTCATCGCATTTGAAAACTAGAAAGCTTCAAAACGGTACTTTAGAATAAAAGTTTCAGTGGGGAGGTCGGAGCAGAACCACGGGCTGAAGAATGCACAGGTGATGAGGATGGAGAGGCAAACAGTATGGTGTTTTCTTTTGAGACTCTGTGTGCACACAGCTGTGCGTGTGCTTATGTCCACACAGGTAATAGGGCAAGTGGGGCTAAGATAGGAGAAGAGGGTTGAGATGAGAAGAGGCTGAAGCACATTTACAGAATAAGGGAAAGGAGCTGTGAAAAAAAGGTAGAAGACATGAGTAAGAATGGTAATGGCAGAAAATGAGGTCCCTGAGGAGGATTGAGGCATTGGGATACCTAGAACCTAGGACCAGAGAAGGGAGGTTTTTCTCCTGGGACTTTAGAAAAAGATGAATGCAGAGAGAAGTAAGTTTCCAGGTGGTAGAATATGAAGCTGAAGAGTTACTTCCTGATTTTTAAAATGTTTCTCTGCAAGACTGAAGGCAGATCACATTCTGAGAGGAGCAGACATTGAGAGTGGGTTGAGAGCCGGCTTCCTCTGGGACGAGCCAGATCAGAGGGGCCGTGGGAATGACGAGGGTGTGGAGGAGGACAGCGAGGCATCCCAGGCCCAGCCAGTGCCCAAGCTCACCCAAGGCACACACACGAGCCCAACGATTATAGAAGCTCAACGACGGACTATTCGAGGCAAGGTTTCACAGGGTTAGGTAGAATCAGAGATCCACAGAGGTTATTTTTCTAACATATTAGAATAAGAAAGTCATTGGGGCGCCTGGGTGGCTTAGTCGGTTAAGCGTCCGACTTTCGCTTAGGTCATGATCTCGCGGTTCGTGGGTTCGAGCCCCGCGTCGGGCTCTGTGCTGACTGCCAGCTCGGAGCCTGGAGCCTGTTTCAGTCTGTGACTCCCTCTCTCTCTGACCCTCCCCTGCTCACGCTCTCTCTCTTTCTCTCCTAGAAATAAATAAAACATTTAAAAAAAAAAAAAAAGAAAGTCATTATGCAATAAGTAGGGTGTGGAAGGAAGTAATGTACTACAATACATGAAAAAGTCAAGAACTAAAGATCCTGGTGAAGTCAAGGGCTGGGAAGACAGAAAGTAGCCCTCAAGACGGTGGTGTTTAAGATTTCAGGTTGAGAACCGAGAGGCCCAGAACCGTAAGTCTATGGCATCATATGGTTCCTTCCCAGGGACACAACGCCATCCAGGCAAGATAAAAGAAGTACTGAGAGAAGAGGGCAAAGAGGAAGATAGTGAACAACGTCCTTGGCATTCAAGCCTTTGGCAAACGTGTGAGAGGAGGCTGTGACATGGGAACTATGAAGTTGGGAAAGGAGAGACCTAAGGGCGCTAATGTGATATGTCTGGATAGCATGAGCCTCAGAGCAGATTATTTTAATATGCAAGGTGGAAAGTAATGGCTTGGACTAGGAAGCTCTGTGGTTACAGGGGAAACAAGAACAAGTAGCCCCTGCCTGAAAGACAGAAAGGTAGTTTACTCAGGAGACAGCCAGGCTTCCATGGAAGATGAGGGGACAGGGTTCACTGAGTGGCATGCCCAGAGTAGAGTGCAGCTCCAGGGACCACCATATATAGAGAGTGGCCAGAAAGACAGCAGGGGGCACGGGGCCACATCTCCTCTGAGGAAGAAATACCTGTTCCTAATACTAGGTAGCCAGACAAGGCGAATGGCTCTCTTCCTGAAAATACAACAGATAAGAGCCCAAGCTAGTGAGGATGGAGGCAGAGTTAGTAAGGACACTTAGTAAAAACTAAGCTCTCCTTGAAGCCTTCAACTTGACCTGTCCAATAGGCAGTTGGGTAAAGAGTCTAACATTTAAGAGACAAGTCACAACTATTTCATTGATTTGTGTAACCTGGAAGGAGTTTAAGTTACAAATGTCTTACTTTTAAATGTCTCAGTTCCAATTTTTACCAATTCCTCCATTTAGATCAATTTGATCAAACTAATGAGGGAATCCAAACATCAATTAGCATATCCAGTGATTGCAATTACAACAGATCTATGCAAAAAACAAAAGCAACTGGTTGTTTGGAGCAAGAGGAAGGGAAGGAGGTGGCTGGGGCCACAAAAGGGAGAAATCTTGTGGTGGGACTGGTCCACTGGTCTGTGACCAGACTGTGGTGATCCCATGCTCTTCTGTGTGACAGAGCTGCACAGAACTGAACACAACCACAACTAAGTGCAGGTAAAACTGGGGAGATCTGAATGAGTTGCATCCATGCTGATTTCCTGGTTGCAGTTACCTAAGAGGTTACACCGGGGAAAACCAAGTGAAGAGTATGCAGGACGTCTAAGTTCTATTTCTCACAACTGCAAGCAAATCTACAATGATCAAAATAAGAAGTTTTTGTTTTTTGTTGTTTTTTTTTTTAATTAAAGGCAACAAAGCGAAGTGTACAACTGGAACATGTGGTCTCCAAACTCATGGTGAACACTGGAGATTAGTGTCTCTAGCTCAAGGATACTCAACCAGAAATTTGGACAGGGGGAAGGAGCATCTACATGTTAGAAGCACTGCTCACACCCCCATTCCCTGCACAAACAGACCCATAGTGGGCCAGGTTTCAGAGGAAGTTGGTCATATCTTCAAGCGTGCTTTAAGTGAAAAAGCAGAAAACCACTCTCTGCGGGCTACTAATATTTACAAACACTGCTAATTGGTAAGGAAAAAAGCATTTAAGAGAAACACAGTATTTAATAAGTAATTGATGACAGTAGACATGAAGTATTTTAACAGATTAGTTCTCATTCGATTTGTCCAAACTTAGCCAACATATTTTTCATGGACATGTACTTCGTCAACAGGAAGACAAACATTCTGTTCATGGAATAAATAAAGTATGGACTTTTCCCCCAGTAATTAAGATTTTCAATGGAATGTCCATACCCTTCTAACAAGGAATACAATATACATAAGGGTATATACTCTACCACCTTGAGTAGAGTGAGATTATTCAGCCTACACAGGAGGACTCGGCACACTAAAACCGAACCATCACTGTGTGTACATGACTGGGTACATCAGACTCCAAAAGTTCAATCACAAGGGGACCGTTACACAAAAGAATGGCACATCCAAAGCCGCTATGAAAGCCACTAAAAGACTTAGTATAGGAAAACGTTTATAATATATTGCTAGGTGGGAAAAGAGCTACAATTAACATGTGAAGGATTCTAATTTTAAATTTAAAAGAATGTGTATATATGTTTATTCAGAAAAAATACAAAAAGACTATAAACCCAAAAGCTTTTATTTGTTTTTAATTTATGGGTCTTTTTCCTTTACACATTTCTGTTTTAAAACTTTTCTACAGTGAGTACATACAACTTTATAATTTGGGGAAAAAAGCAAACTATACTGATAAATATTTTAAGTAATACTTATAAAGCCTATAGAATAATATGAAAAGGAAGTATTTTATGAATACATATACACACATATATGACTATAATTATTTTAAAGAAAGGAAATTATGCATAAGAAAAAAAGATTAGTAGAAAATACACCAAGGTAACAGTGGCTGCGTTTGAAGGATTAAATTATTATGAGCAATTTTCCTTCCTTCTACTGTTCTAGGCTTTGAAATTTTTCTTTAAAGACGTTTATTATGTTAATATGCAAAAAAACCACTGCACTTATCAACCCTATCCCAAATCTTTTTCTTCGTAACCTGCTTCCAAAAACAAACCAACAAACATACACATGCACACAAACCCACAAGTACTTACATGGGCTTACATCTCTGTATCTGTTTCGATTTCTGTTTTCTGGAAACTTGGCCACTCTATGAGGATAGTCATGGGACTCATTGCGAATTTCCTTAAAATAACAAAAATATATTTTAATATTCCTCTTAAATTGTATATAGCAAAAGATACCTTCCCAGCCAGTATAAAGTAACATTTATTGAACACTTATGATATGCCAAGTACAACACAAAGCACATTGCCTATATTATTTATTTCAATTCTCACAACACCAATAGGAACAATTATCCCTGTGAGGGATGACAGGCTTTGAGAGATTAAATAATCTGTCAAAGGTCACAAAACCAGTAAGTGGCAGACCCCAGGACTGAACAAAGGTTGTTCAGGCACCAAAGTCTCTGCTCTTGATGAATTTATATATTGCCATGCAATATTCAACCCCTACAAGCAACCTTAAACACTTCATGTAATACAGAACTAATGCATTGGCGGTATCTAGGCTAACCACATCACACTCAGATTTCTGACTAAACTACCAATAATATCTATCTCTATTTGGAGTTTCTACCTTAAAACTTTAATCTATTTCTTTATCTGGGACATCTGGGTGATTCAGTCAATTAAGCATCTAACTTCAGCACAGGTCATGATCTCATGGTTCGCGGGTTCGAGCCTGTGTCAGGCTCTATACTGACAGCTCAGAGCCTGAGCCTACTTCACATTCTGTGTCTCCCTCTGTCTCTGCCCCTCCCCTGCTCATACTCTAGCTCCCAAAAATAAATAAACATTAAAATTTTTTTTAAAAAACACTTTATTTCTTCATCTTTATGCCATATTACTGTTACTCTGAGTCCAGAAATATCCTCAAATTTTATTTATAGAGCCTTAAGTGCTTAGCAACCACCACTAGGACAGAAGCTCATTTTAGGACCCTTACAGTTTTCTGTGTTCCCCAATGGGAGAAATTCTGTGAGGATACAGCTGCACTAGGCACTCATCTATTTGGTATATCCAGCATGACCAGGTTTTTTCACCCAAATAGAACACGTTATTCTGAGAATTTTGGTAAAAACAGAAACATTTAAAAAAAAAAGTGAAGAGCAGCTGGGTGGCTCAGTTGGTTAAGCATGCTGACAGCTCAGAGCCTGGAGCCTGCTTCAGATTCGGTGTCTCTGTCTCTCTCTGCCCCTCCCCCGCTCATGCTCGCTGGCACACGCTCTCTCTCTCCCCCTCTCTTTCAAAAATAAACAAACATTTAAAAAATTGCTTTAAAGTGTGCATTACCAGCAAAAATTCATTGGGTCTTTGGTCCACTATCACGTGTGAGAAAAAGGGTTTTAAAAGTTAGGCACCAGATAATTTTATAAATTTAGGCATAAATAAATTATTGAAGTCACTTAGCAAATGACCTTACTATGGGTTCTTCACCCTCTTAAATGCCACCAGCCCCAGCACAGGTAACTTTCTAGTTCATATTTTCACCTACTGAGCCTTCTAAGATGCAAAGAGTAGGGAGACATAGACCAGTGGCAGGAAGTCTCAGTCACACTGTGTGTGCAGAGGGTATGTTGGTTTGGCCACTTTGGAAAATTCAATGTGACACACACACACTCTACAATTGTTTTTACTGACTTTTAATATGTCTGTCTCATCCAGCAATCTTGCTGAGCTCTCTATTATTTTCCAGTGACTCTGAATTTCTCAATAAAACCAAAGTGATCATTCTGTCTCTTCCCTATATTTCATATTTCTTATTTATTTACACCTCTTGTTTCTCTTACTTATCTAATTTCCTTGGCTAGGATCACCTACTCAATATCAAATAGACATATTTTTTCTCCCGATTTGGAAACAACTGCCTCTAAGATTTAACCACTAAACATAACTTGCTTTGGGTTTCTGATCAAAACCCTTTTCAAATTAAGATGGTTCTGGGGTGCCTGGGTGGCTCAGTCAGTTAAGTGTCCGACTTCGGCTCAGGTCATGATCTCACAGTTCATGGGTTCGAGCCCCGCACTGGGCTCTGTGCTGACAGCTAGCTCAGAGCCTGGAGCCTGTTTCAGATTCTGTATCTCCCTCTCTCTCTGACCCTCCCCTGCTCATGCTGTCTCTCTCTCAGAAATACATAAAACATTAAAAATTTTTTTTTAATTAAGATGGTTCTCTTCAACTTCTAGTTAGCTAAACATTTTTTTTTAATCATGAATGGGTATTGAATTTTATTCAATGTTTTCCCTACATTTATAAAGTGATCATATAGCTTTTCTCCTGTACTCTGGTAATGTGCTAAACTACAATTAACAGATTTTCACTTAGTAATATGATTTTAAGGTTCCTCCATGTCTTTTCATGACTTGATAGCTCACTTTTCTTTAGTGCTGAATAATATTCCACTGTCTGGATGTACCATCATTATTTAATTTAAAATGTATGCACCCGTGTTTTTAAGTTAAACTGACCTCTAGTTTTCTATTTGCGTGTTATTTATTTGTTTTAGTATCAAAGTTACACAGCCTCATATAAGAAGTTGGAAAAAGGGGTGCCTGGGTGGCTCAAGTGGTTGAACATACGACTTAAGCTCGGGTCATGATCTCACGATCCCTGGGTTCAGGCCCCACAGGCTCTGTGCTAACAGCTCGGGGCCTGGAGCCTGCTTCAGATTCTGTGTCTCCCTCTCTCTCTGCCCCTCCCCACTTGCACTCTGTCTCTCTCTCTCTCTGACTGACAGAATGTACACAGATGCAGCGTTTGAGAATGATTTACTAAGATCATAAATTTGACTCACACATTTTACCCTCTAGGAATTTAGATCACATAGCCACACGGCTATGTGCAAAGATTTATGCACAAGGATGTGCACTGTACATAGAAGTGAAAAAATTAGCAAGAATATAAGTGTCCTTCAGGAGTGAACTGGGGAGATAAATCATAATGCACCAATGCAGCAGAATACATGAGAATCAGTAAAAAGGACACCAAGTGCGACAGTCATGCGACACAATCTCAAAGATACACTGTGTAGTGAAAAAAAGTACAAAAGAACAGGCTCCCATGGGGGAAGTGAGCACTCCACTCAAACATAAATATGCCTGAGAATACACTGAATAATTCTAGAAGAGATGTTCGTAACTTCCAAGGAGGAAGACTGAACATCTAGGGAAGGGTACAGATTTATGTAACTAAAAAAGTTGTTTTAATTATAAAAGATATCAAACAGGGGTGCCTGGGTGGCTTAGTTGGTTAAGCGTCCAACTTTCGCTTAGGTCATGATCTTGCGGTTCGTGGGTTCGAGCCCCGCGTCGGGCTCTGTGCTGACTGCCAGCTCAGAGCCTGGAGCCTATTTCAGAGTCTGTATCTCCCTCTCTCTGTGACCCTCCCCTGCTCACGCTGTCTCTCTCTCACAAAGAAAAAAAACATTTAAAAAAAAAAAAAGATATCAAACAGAAAAACAGAAAAATATCACACTCATGTTACCATCAGTGAAATTAAATATTTATTGCCACTTTTGAATATCTCATTCAAATCTCTTTTTGGAAAAGGAATAAAACACATCATTGCAGCAGCATCATTTACAATAGCCAAGATGTGGAAAAGAACTTAAACGTCCATTGACTGATGAATATATAAAGAAGATATGAAATATATATAAATAAAACAATGGACTAGTACTCAGCCATAAACAAGAATGAAACCTTGCCATTTGTTACAGCACAGACAGGCCCTGAGGTATGCTAAATGAAATAAGTCACAGGAGAAAGACAAATACTGCATGATTCACTCACATGTAAAAATCTAAAAAAACAAAACAAAATAAAATAAAAAACTTACAGATACAGAGAGCAAACTAGAGATTACCTATGGGGAAGGGGGTTTATGGGTGGATGAAATGGGTGAAGGAGGCCAATTACATGGTGATGGAATGTAAATAGTCCTGTGGTGGTAATCACTCTATCGTGCATACAGATGTCAAATAGTAAAGTTGTACACCTGAAATGTACATAATTAAAAAAAGAAAACCCCATACATCAGATATAGCTAAAGAGTTTCCCCCCTACCCTGCCCCTCTTTCTTTCCAAAGTAACTTGTCCTTTTAACTCCTTTTTATTGGGCACTTTTTGTGCCATTTGGATCTTAAACCATATATTTATATATTCTTGAATTAATATTATTACCTTAAGATAAAATAAAATTCTAATAAATACTAGTATAATATCAGTCCTAATGCTATATAGTTTTAAAATCAGATTGAAAAGTTGTTACAATCCACAAAATGGGAGAAAATCATTGCAAATCATGTATCTGATAAAGGACTATTACCCACATTATATAAAGAACTTCTTCAATTAAAAAAATTTTTTTTAATAGGCAAAGAGGGTCCCTCCATTACATGAGTCCTTCTTCAATGCTTGTGTTATGCATATAAACCTATTTTCCAGGGACACCTAGGTGGCTCAGTGGGTTATGATCTCGTTCAGGTCATGATTTCCCAATCCATGGGTTCTAGCCCCGTGACAGGCTCTGCGCTGACAGCTCAGAGCCTGGAGACTACTTCAGATTCTGTGTCTCCCTCTCTCTGCCCCCTCCCCAACTTGCGGGCCCTCGCTCACGCTCGCGCTCTTTCTCTCTCTCTCCCCTCCCTCAAAAACAAAACATTAAAAAAAATTTAAGGGCACCTGGGTGGCTCAGTGGACTAAGTGTCCAACTTCAGCTCAGGTCATGATCTCATGGTTCGTGAGTTCCAGCCCCACGTCAGGCTCTGTGCTAACAGCTCAGAGCCTAGAGCCTGCTTCAGATTCTGTGTCTCCCTCTCTCTGTCCCTCCTCTGCTGACACTCTGTCTCTCTCTGTCTCTCAAAAGTGAATAAACATTAAACATTTTTTTAAACCTATTTTTCCACAGTTAAGTCCATCTGTCAGTATCTGATTCCAATTTTTAGCCTAAAGAAACACACTTATTTATTTGTGAACACTGTGACAAATTATTACTGATGTTTCAAAAAAAATCTTTTAATAGGATGGAGCCCCAAATATAGAGGTAGGGAAGACATTTTAATTTACAAAGCACCGTGAAACAGCCAAGCTCTTGGAGTTAAGAGATACATTCATAACAAAT